GTATTTTTTTATTTACCTAAAATGTTTCCAGTTCAAAATCTTAATCTGTGAAGTGTTATATTTTCGTATATATGATATAAGACTGTATTCACCTTATTCCAACCATTGAGGAGCTCACTGATGAGTTCACCCTTACTCTGTGTCTTTCCATGTGAGAGCACCAGTGGTTTTAGCCTGTCTTCATGTAACAGTGACCCACCAGATAACATTGATACATTCCCAGTCCATCTCTGGTTTGATGTATTCCCTCTAACTAAAACTTTGCAACTGCCCCATCTCTGCCATTTTATTTTCAAACCATCTAAATTTTCCTTAAGTAAGCCTGCACTGGCTCGCTCTTACTGTGCTCCTTTCAGATTTCAGCGTGATTGATTTGAGAGCTATTTTTGAAAAAAAAAAAAAAAAAAAAGGATAAATGAGAACATAGGGTAAAAAAATAGAAAAACTACCACAGGCACAATTTTTATGAAATGTTTGGAGATGATAAGGAGCAGCTGCAATGATCTGATGAGTAGAACTTAGGGAAATCGTTTGGGGAAGATAATTGTAAAGGGGTTTTGCTCTGTGTCATAGTGGAATACCCTGTGATTTGAACTTATTTCTCTTTCTTTGTGTGTGGATTTACATGTGGCTTGTTTTATTTACTTGTTTGTTTTCTGAGCACAGCAATGAATCAAGAAAAGAACGAGCATGCCAAGCTGTAGAATTATTCATTCAATAGTATTTTCTGAGTGTATCCATGGTGCCAGGCACTGTTCTAGGCACATAGGATACATCATTGAACAAAATAGACAAAGATCCTTGTACTTGTAAAGCTCACATTCTGAGGAAAAAGGAAGAAGAACAAATGTAATTAATAAGCAAATATTATAGTAAGAAGAAATAAGTTCTGTGAAAAAAAAGTATAGCAAATCCAGGAGGACTGGCATTCTAAGAGATGGAGGTGTTGGGTTGCAATCTAAATGGGTTGGTCAGAGTTAGTCTTATTGAAAAGATGATATTAATTCAAGACCTAAAAGAGATAATAGAATTTGCCAGTTATGTTGGCAAGAGAATAGTCAGTACAGAGAGAACAGTGAGTGCAACAAGGCTGCCTGGCATGATCTAGGATCAGCGCGGGGCCAGGATGGCAAATTTGGAAGGATGAGTAGAATTTTGGGAGAGGAGGCCAGAGCGGTTCGAGAGGCCAAGTCTTGGAGACCTATATGTTATTTTAACAATTTGGTTTTTATTCTGAGGCAATGAAGGAGCCATTGCAGGTTTCTAAGTAGAGCAATGACATAATCTAGCTTACGGATTAAAAGGATAACTCTGGCTGTGGGAGGAGGCAAGGTAGAAGCAAGGAGTCTATTCTAGTAATCCAGGTGAGAGGTGCTAGTAGCCTAAGACCAGGGTGCTAGCATAAGAGGTAGTGAGAGGTAGTCAGTTCTGAATATATTTAGAAAGTAGAGTAAATAGGTTTCTTGATGGATTAAATATTAGAGTTAGAGGATAAACCCAGATTATTTAGTATAAGCAACTGGAAGGAAGGAGTTGCCATCTCCCAATGGGAAGACTAGTGGTAGAGAAGATAGGTCAAGGGTTGAGGAAAAATATCAGGAATTTAGTGTTGAAATTTGCGCTGGATGTAAGCAGACATATCAAGAAGGCAGTTGGATATATGTAAGTAAGAAGCATGTATCTGCAGATTACACAATAAAATGCTGTGTCTGATAAAATCTCATGTTTGCCTCTTGAGGGCCTCTGGTTTCTGTAACTGTATTCCATGAACAGCCATAGACCTGGAAGGGGAGAACATGAATAGTGGGCAGGAAGCCTCTTCCAACATTGGAAGCCTGTAGCTTTACTCTTTGAAGGATACCCTGCTCTTAGGAGGACCTTCATCAAACCCTCGGTTGCTAGAATATTCTCTGAAAATGATAAAATATCTAGCAGATAACTTCTTTGTTTCTCCTGGATGATTGTCACCTTTTATCTGCTCCTAGTGCCCTTATTTTGTTGACTCCTTGTAGCAAATGTCTTCAGGTGCCCACTCAACTCCTCTTCTCAATCCACTTTTCTCTAACCTCTTTGTAGGTGTGAGCATCTGAGAGCCAAAAACCTACCAAACACTCCTAGAACTAACTAAAGTTGGACATCACAAAGGTGGGCTTGGGCGGGGGGCAGTTAGGGAAGGGAATTGGGAGTGAGCCTTGGAAGGTCCTGCAGGTGTTGGTCAAATTTGTAAACTAGGGGAGTTGCAGTAACAGACCGTGGAACTTGTGAATCCATGTGGGTTACTGTTTGATTAGCTTGCCTGTGATTCTTATCTAGGACAAGGTGGTGGTAGAATATTTTGAGCTTATGTAGGTGGTGTTCATGACTGG